TTGCTCCACTAAAAAATTTCCAATGGTGATGGCTATAATTGGACAACTGGGGTCTTTGAATTTGGGAGGAGTTTTGGTTCTCAATATTGAGCTCACTTGCTCGGTGAGGAATGCTTTCTTGTGAACATTCAGTTTCCTCTTCACCGTGCATAGGTCCTTCAAAATCTTAGCACATGATGGAATTTGCTTGATGGCATCGAGAATTGGAATGTTAATTTTCACTTGCTTAAACATTTCCAAAATATCATCATAATTAGACACCTTGACAAGTGGCTTCAAATGACTTGGGAAAGGGGCAGGCATGGGAGGAATAAACACATAATCATCAATTAATTTTTCTTTCTCAACAACCTTTCTTTCTTTCTCTTCACGTACATCACTCTTGTCGGCGTCACCCAAGTTGTCTTTTTCTTTTGGCAATGTGGTCTTGGGTGAGACCGTTGGCAAAATGGTTTTATCAATTTGTTTGCCACTGTGAAGGGTGGTGACAGTTTTGAGTTGCTCGCAACTCTCTCTCGAAGGTTCCAATGACTCAACAAAGTGTTGACCCCTAGGGTTCTCTTGTGGTTGAGCGGGGAACTTCCCTTTTTCTTGTTGAGATGCCCCTATGGAGTTTGTCAACTTTGTGAGTTGGGCTCTTACATCGTTGATGGCTGTGGCATTTTGGTTATTGATGGCGATTTGGCTTTGAATGAAGGAATATACCATATCCTCCAAATTCCTTTTGTGAGGAGGTTGGTATATAGATGGATTGGACGGTCCTTGAGAAAAATTTTGTGGAGGTGGATTTGGTGAAAAAATCTGTGGTGGTGGGTTTGACGAATACCCTTGTGGATTGGTTCGGGGGTATTAAGAGTTAGATGCTTGCCCTTGGCCATGGTATTGGTTTTGCTTGGGAGGCATGGGAGATGCATATGCACTTGAACCATGAGGAATGGGGTTTTCATTTCTCCAATTAAATTTTGGGTGATTACTCTAACCCGGATTATAAGTATTCAAATTGGGAGAAAATGATTATCTGGTTTGGTTGAAGGCATGGACTTGTTCATGGTACGCTTCTTTAAGGGTCGGAATGTTTGGACAATCTGATGGGGAATGCTCCATACATTCGCAAATTGAACAACCCTCCTCGGTTCGTGACACATTAGACACCTCGTGTCTCTTATTGACTTCAAGACTCTTAACTTTTCTTGACAATTTAGCAATTTTTGAAAACAAGTCTTTCTGGTCTCTCAAATCATAAATCCCTACCCCTTCAGTTTGGCCACTCTTCTGAGGAGAAGATCTTTGTACATCGGTGGGATCTGTAATGTCCCATGATTGTGCATTTTATGCCAATGTATCAAAGTAATCTAAGGCCTCATCAGGGTCTTTGTTCAAAAACTCCCCATTACACATCATGTCAATGAATTGTCGATGGCCCAGTGTGATTCCTTCGTAAAAGAAACTCACCAATTGACATGGTTCAAAGCCATGATGTGGAAGGGATTTTAGCAATTCCTTTTACCTGTCCCAACATTGATAGAATTGCTCATTGGGTTTTTTTGAAAATTTTTAAATTTGCTTTTTTAGGGTGGTGGTTTTATGCACCGGAAAGAATTTGTTCAAAAACTCAAAAATCATTTGGCTCCATTATGTGATGGTTCGAGGCCTTAAGGAAATAAGCCACATTTTTTCCTTGTCTTTCAAGGAAAAGTGAAATAATTTCATTCTAGCTATCTCTTCCATCCCATGATTGGGGAGGAAGGTTGCAACTATTTTCTCGAAATCCCTTATGTGTAAATAGGGGCTCTGAGTTTCAAGTCCGTTGAACGTGGGAATTAGTTGTAACATCCCTGGCTTAGCTATGAAAAGATGAGCTTGGACTGGAAGGAGGATGCATGATGGTGTGGTGCTTCGTGTTGGTTGTAGGAAATCCCACATTGACCTCACCGGGGGATCCATTTAAAAATTATTCCCCTCATTCACGTGGGGGGGGGGGGGAATCATTCTCGGATTGGGTATTTGGGGTTCTTGTGGTCCCCCACCCCTTTGGACATTTGGATTTGTATCCATATTGCCAAAATTATCACTCGCATCCTCGAGTTATTCTTGGTCAATATTCATGGTAGGGGCCAAGTTTTGTCTAACAAGTCGGTTTTAATCGTTCTGCCTCCACATAAAACAAAATATATACAAACAAAATTATAAACAAAAAAGATTATGTTCACGGAACAATGTACCTCAGCCCATGATGAAGATCATGGGACTTACCTCTATCGTCTAGAAATCACCTTCTTGGTTTGACACTTGCCTTCCCTCGCAACGGCGCCAAAAATGCTTGACAAAATTCCTTGTTGTTTCCTAACCTCTAAACATCACCTTTTAGCATGTATAGTATATGAATGAAGGGGAGCGTCACTCTCCTAGGGATGATGTCAAAAGAAAGGGCAACGAAATGGTGATTGAATGAAATGTTAAATGTGAGTATATGTGAACAAAAGTGCTCCCAAAGCGCAAGGAGACTTTTGCGGATCGTGTTTTATTTGGTGGTATTCCAAGGTCATTTTCATGGGAAAGGAAGTAAACCTAGGNCCCAAGCGCAAGGAGACTTTCACGGATCGTGTTTTACTTGGTGATATTCCAAGGTCGTTTCCACGGGAAAGGCAATAAACTGAGGGAAAGGTGATTTTGGGAGAAAGAAAGTGTAAAATCTTTGATTGTTGGAAGTTGTTTGGTGAAGTTGTTTTGATGCTAGTAAAATGAGAAACAAATGTTGGCAAATCCAAGAGTTCACTCCAATAGGAATACCGTTTCAACTCGAAACGTTCCTCCAATAGAGCATGAATGAACGATTGATTCGTGGGAAGCTAGGGATAAGATTGGTGAGTAGCTAAGCATAAACCATGACTAGGCCTAAGAAATATCAAAGACTCACCAAGTTATCCAGCCTCAACCCAGTCAAATCGAACCATTAAACTCTGAAAGAGGAGAGGAGAATGAGTTGAAATGGTATACCCAAGTGGAGGTTCCTCTTGGTTTTGCCAACTAAGAGATTTAGCTATTCATGCTTAAAATAAGGACAACAATATGATGAGAAGACATTATGAAGAAATAAAGACTAGAGCTAAGCATAAACGAAATGCATAATTATAACTTTCGGATAATCACCTCTTACTAAAGATTGGATGAGAAACTACTCACTCTTCATGGCTTTATTAAAGCTAGAAAAGTGAGTGATGGTCATCCCTCCAAGTACAGGAGTTGTTACTTGGTAAAACACTTTACACAAGGAGCCGATCTTCGACAAAGAATGGGTGAATCATGTTCCACCCTTCATGATTTTGGTAAAGCTCTAGAAAAATGGAAGAGTTTCACTCCTCTAAGGGAAGAAGGAAGCTCAAGCAATGGAAGTAAAAGAAAGCAATAACACAATAAAAGAAAGCAATCCTCAAAGTAAAAGAAAGCAATAAATTAGAAGGAAGCAATAATACAATAAAAGAAAACAATACTTAAAGAAAACAATAAGCAATAAGGAAAGCAATAATACTTTTGGAGGGTTTTCCACTACCAAAAGATGAATTCTTTACAAGTCCTAAGGGGTGGTATTTATAAGCAACAAGGGAGGGTGAAAGTCTTGTTTGGTGGCTTTGAATTACATGAAAGTCTTGTTTGGTGGCCTTGAATTACATGAAAGTCTTGTTTGGTGGCCTTGAATTCTTTGATCCCCCTTTGTTTTGAGCATTGATAATTGACACCCCAGTAGTTTTTAGCTTTAATGCAATTGACTCCCTAGTAGTTTGTAGGTTTGACGCACAAAACCCTGAAAAGAACAACAATTAATGCATGAACATATTATCAATGTAACCATCCATCAATTAAAGGAGGTATAAATATTAATGCATAAGTAAAACATCAGCATTTCAATAATGTAAACAATATTTCACATGTAATCACTGTTGACCAAAGAGTACAAATGGACTATTCATGCCGCATTGCTATAAACAAGCAAAAAGATTGAGATAATCCCAGTACAATTGAAAACAACACATCCTTCCACAAGGAATAGCTGAAACATAGCCACTCTGACTACCAACTAGGGGATAAAAGTGGGAAAGGTTTAACCCTCCAGGTAGAAAGGATAAATAGAAATGTACAAGTAGAGAAAATTATGGTTGGGAAATAATTCTAGCAGGGCTTCGCTCTTCCTTTCTTTCATTCTTTCCTTCCCTCTAGCACTGAACTGAACTTCTTTGGATCTTCCCCTAAAAAATGGATGAAGTAGGCTATTTATAGGCACCAGTAGAGGGCCTTAAGGCAACAGACACCCTGACAAGCCAATCAGGTGAATTTGTTACTTAACTGGACCAATGGACGAGGAGAAAGAGTTGAGGTGGTTTAAGGACTGTCAGGACGCCACCACTACCACTTTGATGGTGGCATTCCTCTGGATTTTGGCTTTGGTAGCCTCCTTGTTGAATTTTTATTTATTTGATAATTGTACTTGCCTCCCCTTCCTTATTCAGCTTGTACATTTGAATCCTCCTAAATTGCTATATTCTCGCTTGAAACCGTGCAAAATGTCAAATGACGCATTAACTCTAATACTCTATAACTTAATCATTTAAACCTTTTTTATGCACATAATAAACTCTAAAACCTAATTCATTCACTCATTATTTAGGGTTAATCAGTAGGCTAAGAAAGAGACGATTGTCGCTTATGACTCACCCTTTCCCCCCAAACTACACTTTAACCCCATTTTTTTTCATTGCTCACACAAATGGCTCATGATTTAAATCACTTAATGATTTACAACCAAAACATTACACTATCTATTAAATGAACCCCTATAGTTATATAATTTAAACACTATCTAACTCGAATACTTCTAATAATCGTAATTAAACCCCATAACCAACATCACAAATTATGCTTTAACACACAATATTTATGAAATGCAATGTTATGCATGCTTGGGTCCCACACAAGAAGTAAGAACAACTCGATAATCATGCTCCCTACTCTTCCCTTGGCGGCATAAAGGAACCCCCATTTGTCAAAGAGTAATCCCCTGTCGCCTCCAACTCCCACCTTATCCTAAAACTAGCACGAAGGATTGATATCCATCTTGGGAAATTTTTTCTCAATCTTCCCTTGGAGGTTCTTGAAGCCTTCCACAAGCTATTGGCAGCATCTTTCTTGAGTTCTTTTATCTCCTCATCTTTAGCCTTTAAGGAAGTCTCTAAATTCTTATTTAACCTTTTCAAGGCCTTTTTTAGTTCAAGTTGTGCATTAGAACCTTGTCAAGTTTAGCTTTCACTTTTTTCATCTCCTCCTTGACCTTTATCTTCTTGGACATAGCTCTATCTAGGGCCGCGATCAAGTTGGCAATCATGGAATCCTTAGAAGCTTAATCACTAAGGACAGATTCATGAGCTAACTTTAGCTCATCCACTTAATGATGATGAGCTCCCAAACATTCTCTAGAAGCCATCAATTCTAGGGCCTAATCCTTGAACTGCTTAAACAGTTATTGCCTTTTGAGGTTGATGGCCTTGACATAGGCAACAGACACCACTAAGCCATAACCAACTTGGATGACCTAATAATCAAACGTAATCTTCAGTATAGCATGAAGCTCATCATTAGAAACCATGTCAAAAATATTTTGCACTGCCAGAGTGGGTGATTAGTAGTTAAAATTAGCATATTAATATGCCTTTTTTATACTAATTATACTTTGATGGAGTTTAAATGATGACATTTCAGGTCCTAAAGTGAACAAGTGCTCAAAAAGCAACATATATCAAACTTGAATGTAGCACCAGCATATTTGGGAACAAAATTGGAAAAGCTTGGAACAAAGCAAGAACATTTAAACGTCAAACAACGTTCTAACGTCCCCCTGAATTAATTGAAGACCAGGCTACTGAGACATGGCGTGTTGCAGCTACACTAAGATACTTGAGTACCATGTTCGAATGCCAAGCAACGTTCGAATGTTCCCCTGAATTATTAAGGACCAGGCTATTGAGTGCAAAGTCAAGTCGTACGTGGAGTGTGGAACTAGCTCTCCAAAAAAACACAGGCCACTTGAGTAGGGGGTTCAGACCCCATTTGGCATGTGAACGCCATCAAGCAAAGATAGAAACCACGTTTGAACGCCAAACAACATTCTTGCCTCACACTCTCTTGTCCCCCTCCTCCTTGCCTATAAATACTCCCCTTGTGGGAGCTTTTAAAAGGAGGATTTTGGGGTAGGAAGCTAGAGCTTGGTTTGTAGGCTTAGACTACACCAAGAACTAGTAAAAAGCTTAAAGGAGGCTGAGACTCCCACTTGTAGTTATAGAATTAGTCTTAGACTTAGTCTTATATTTACTTGTATCAAGGGAGATAGATCATCTTTTGGTTGCGGTGGAAACCCTCCAAAAGTAACTAGTTTTCTTCTACTTTCATTAATTGTCTTTCACTTCCATTGCTTGAGCTTCCATCTTCCCTTAGAGGACTGAAACTCTTCCACTTTTGTAGAGCTTTACCAAAGCCATGAAGGGCAGAACGTGATTCACTCATTCTTTATCGAAGATCGACTCCTCTACTTGGAGGGATGAACATCACTCACTTTTCTAGCTTTACCAAAGTCATGAAGAGTGAGTAGTTTCTCATTCATTATTTACTAAGAAATGATGGACATGTATAAATCATCTGGAAGTTATATTGTGTGCATTTCATTTATGCTTTTGTGCTTTATATTGCACCTACTTATTGAATGATTGAATGTATTTAGCAAAACTAAGTCACTTTGTATAACCGTGGATTCTTTCTATGACATCGATGACTCTTGCATAGAAAGATCCATGTGTTCAAGGCAAGTACTAATTCACCCTAATTAGTGCGTAAATAAAATAATTAAGTGATCAATTTTGTAAGATAAAATCGCTAAACATTATGAATTATAGTTTGTGTGCAAAGTAAAGTTTTTAATACTTTATGTGTAAATTTCAGGGTCAAATGCAGAAATAATGGGAAATACAATGCAATTTTGCAAGAGTTGAAACTATGAAGGACTAAGGTGTAATAAAGAATCATGGACAAATCAAAAGGCAACAAGTGGTAGCTCCAGAAGAAGACACCTTGCACTACTGCAAGGCTTAACCTTTAGGAAGGTTAAGGTAGGGGTTAGGACCCCCCGACACATGGAAGCTCCAGAACGCGACAAGTGGAAGCCTAAGACTGCGACACCTAGCTCTGTTGCAAGGATCAACATTCCTAAAGGGTGAGAAGGGGGTTAGGACCCCTCATTGGCTGAAATTTCACCCTTCCCTATAAATAGGGGTCTTGCCTTCATTCTTCAAGGGACTTGAAACATTCCACTCCAAGTACACCAGGCCTTCACAATACCATTTCAAGGNGGGGGTTAGGACCCCTCCTTGGCCGAAATTTCACCCTCCCCTATAAATAGGGGTCTTGCCTTCATTCTTCAAGAGACTTGAAACATTACACTCCAAGCCTTTACAATACCATTTCAAGAAAAAATTTCCTTCCTACCAAGAAAGCTAGCCGGCCATCAAAGAGAGAAAGAAAAAGCCTTTGAAAGCTGGTCCGTTTGTTACTTTGTATTTCTACATTTTTGAAATATCTTTCTCTTCGGATGGTTGAACTGCCGCCACTTTTTTTTGTCTTGAATGATATTAAGGGTGGTTGTGTTTCAATTGTTCCTTGTGAAAGAAGTTTTATTTTAATTGTAATGAATACATCCCATACTTCTTGCTTGTCTGTAGCAATGGAGCGTGAGTAGTCGTTTATACCCTCTAGTGTGAGGGGAACATATGTATATTACTGTTTAGATTATGGAAATGCTGATGTTTTATTTATACGTTTATTTATATATGTATTATATGCTTAATGCGTGATATAGTGATGTGTATAATTCCGGTGCTGTGCCTTGGATTATATCATCAGTATATCATAAGACCCGCCGGTCTAACAACCATGACGTTTCTATCGGTATGACTTTGCTTCCACCGAAATGCTGAGGAAATTGACTGAGGTGTGGTACAAACCTAAATGATCCTCATGAATGGCTTGTCCTTCTGGATTATTAGGGTTGATTATTATTATATATAATTATTNCTTTGCTTCCACCGAAATGCTGAGGAAGTTGACTGATGTGTGGTACAAACCTAAATGATCCTCATGAATGGCTTGTCCTTCTGGATTATTAGGGTTGATTATTATTATATATAATTATTATGACAGTCTAATAACCATGATGTCCTTATCGGTATGACTTTGCTTCCACCAGAACGTTGAGGCTGTTTAACTGACACATCTATACCTAGTGTAGCTTAAGAAGCAGTTGTGTTATAATATATTACCACCAGTGTAGCCTAAGAAGCAACTATGTTATGCTTTATATATATGCACTTGCAATCATGAGATCAAATGAATAACTCAAGTATTCCTCATGAATGGCTTGTCCTTCTGGTTTGCTTGGGTGAATCAGTTGACATAGATATAATCGGTGTAACTTAAGAAGCAGTTGTGTTATAATATATTACCACCAGCATAGCCTAAGAAGCAGTTGTGTTATGATTTATTTACATCAAACCTGCCGGTTGACTTTCTAGTAACATGGGAGTTAATTGTTGTGAGGTAGCATTTCCAGTATCTAACCAATATAATGCATATGGGACCCTTAAACTGAAGGGTATCTTTATATTCTTGTTGCTAACGCATTTACTTACGCACTTTATTATTTATGTCATTAATCTGTTTTATTTATGCATTTTATTATCTCTGCACTTTATTTCTGCATTGCTTTTATTTAAATAAACTAGTTATCAAACTAAGCTCACACCACAAGCTATAAAATAATATTCTGCTTCAAACAACACTTTTAATTTTTTATTTTATTTTATTTTATAGTCTAAATTACTAAACTCTTCGTGGGATCGATACTTGGACTTAAAACCGAGAAAACTATAATTGGACCACTTATACTTGGGTGTACAATATAATATAATTGAGACCACTAAAAAGTGTGAATCAAGTTTTTGGCGCCGTTGCCGGGGAATTATAGTAATAAATAAAAAAAATAAAATAAAAAAAATAAAAAAGATAGGTGTATACTTGTTTTATATGTTTATAGTTTGCTTGTTTGTTTTTAGTCTATGTCTGTTCATTCATTTGTAGGTTTTGTAAATCAATCCACTCCTTCATCATCTTCTTCTACATCTACACAAGAATCATTCAACTTAAGTATGGCACAAAATGTACCTAGGCAAAAAGAAGAAAGAGAACAGGAAGTAGTTCAAAATGTTCGACCATTAAGAGAATATCTACATCCTACAAGAACTAATGCCCCATCATGTTTTGCTTTTTCAACAGACGCTCCAAATATTAATATTAAACCAGGAACTATACAGTTACTACCATAGTTCCATGGTTTAGAAACTGAAAATCCCTATGTTCATATGAAAGAATTTGAAGAAGTTTGTGGAACTTTGCAAGATAATTCTGAAATGATTAAATTAAAAAATTTTCCTTTCTCATTAAAAGATAAAGCTAAACTATGACTTAACTCTTTAAGAACAAATTCTATCACAAAATTTGCAAGCTTTACAAACTGAGTTTTTTTAAAAAAAATTTCCTGTGCATCGTACTAATGCATTAAGACGCCAGATAATGAATTTTGCTGTAAAAGAGAAAGAAAATTTTTATCAATGTTGGGAAAGATATAAAGATCTTCTCCAAGCTTGTCCACATCATGCATTTGAAAAATGGACTTTAGTTGATTTCTTTTATGATTCACTTCCATCTGCCATGCGACAATTTGTTGAAATGATGGCTGAAGGAGAGTTTATGAATAAAAACCCTGAAGAAGCACTTCAATTTTTTGATACTATTTCGAAGAGTTCCCAAATGTGGGACTCGACTTCTTCAAACATTGGAGAAAATAAGTCATCTACATCTGAAAGAGGAAAATATGTATTAAAAGAAGATGATGAGTTAAGAGCAAAAATGGCTAATTTATCTTGAAAACTAGAGGCTTTGGAAATGAAAAAAATTAAGCAAGTATCTATTGTTACCTCTACTGATCAAATATGTGAAATTTGTGCGTTGTCAGGACATCCTGCTAGAGAATGTCCAACTATACCAGAATTCAAAGAAGTTTTAATTGAACAATCAAATGTTGTTCCAACCTATAATAATAAACCTTATTTGAATCTATATTCTAAAACTTACAATCNAAACTGAGTTCTTTTAAAAACTGAGTTCATTATTAAGATGCCAAATAATGAATTTTGCTGGAAAATAAATTTTTTTTTTATTAATGTTGGGAAAGATTTAAAGATCTTCTGAAACTTACAATCTAGGATGGAGAAATCATCTGAA